AAAGCAACAAAGTTTGCTCGTCTTCCCCGTCTCTTCCCATCTACCATCTTTCTCCAGTTTCCGCATTCCTTCAGAAGTGTCGCCCGCTCAAAAGGTCTTCGAAACTCGAGAGACCTCACAGCTTACAATCGACCCTCAGAAGGTGTTCGCGCTCTGTGGAGCACAGTTCAGTCGATTCTCTAGGGCACGCGTGGCTCGACACCCGCGAGCGCAGGAGAGAAGCGATCAGTGATTGGCACAAGCGCCCCCTCCCGACTTTTGCGAGGCGGATCGACTTCATATCACAGAAAATTCACGTGCGAGTAGCGCAAGCTTGCCGCTCATCGCTCCAGAGATGTCGCAAGATGGCTACGGTAATGGCGGATATGGACGCCGACCTCAGTATGTGAGTGTTCTGCGAAGCCTGAAGCACCCTCGTGTGCTTGTGGCTCGTCGCGGACGAAGAGGCTTTTGAGCGAAGCTGCTCCTCATTTGAAGTGCAAGAGGCTGGAGGCTCACAAGCTGGTGGTCGAAGGTGGGGCGTCATGGAAGGCTGCGTGTGACGGGCGGACGGCAGAAGCGCCCAGACCCGAGGTTGAACGCGGCAAGCAGACGCGACACACGCGCAACGCATGCATTGATCGACAGGGGCAGCTAGAGACCAGGACGTTTTGCTCTCTCACACCACCGCATGCGCCTAGCAGTCTTGCAACTTGATCTGGCTCACACTCTTTTCACCTGACCCCTTAGCCGCCTGCAGATCCGCTTCGCAACGGCAGCTATGGACCAGGAGGAGGACCAGGAGGTGGAGTATACCCTGCTAACTCCTCTAGCGGACATGGCTATCACGGCAGCTCGACCACCCTCGATGTGACCAATGGTGACCCATTCTACTCTGGCCCAGGCGGCAACCCGAGCTACGTCTCGGACTATCCAGACGAGAGCAAGATTCCTCTGACAGCAGGCGCTGTTCCTCCTGCCACGGAGAAATACGGCGCATACCCTCCTTCCGATCGGCCTTACGGGTGAGTTTGGGCGGCGCTGGGGCGGCGGCTCCAACTACGCTGACAGTGATTGCCCGCGTTCCCGCAGCGGCATCCCGATGCCTCAAGCACCCTACAGAGGTAATACGCCTTTCAGCCAGTCTGACGTCGGACCCGAGGACAGCGCGAGTCAAGTAGCTTGGGCTAAGCGTCAACAAGGACCCAAGCGAGGTCTGACCCGTAAAGTCAAATTGACGAGGGGAAATTGGATCGTCGATCACCGTGTGCCCACGGCCGTCAAGAACTCTATCGAGCCCAAATGGAGCCAAGGTTCGAGAACGAATGAGTTTACGCACATGCGCTACACGGCAGCTACCTGCGATCCGGATGAATTCACGCCCGAAAACGGCTGGTCTTTGAGGACTTCAGCGCAATACCAGCGAGACACGGAGTTGCTCATCGCGATCACGTATTACAATGAGGATCGTGTCTTGCTGGCGAGGACTTTGCACGGAGTCATGCTCAACATTCGTGATATCTGCAAGTCGAAAGCTTCCAAGTTCTGGAGGCGAAGCGCAGAAGAAGGTCGACCTGGTTGGCAGCGCATTGTCGTCTGCCTCATCTTTGACGGTATTGATCCCTGCGACAAGGAAGTAGTGAGTATTCGCTTGGCTGACGGCCAGGAGTACGCAAGATCAAAAGCTCATGCTTGCCGCTTTGCCACGACCAGCTCGATGTACTGGCTACGATTGGTGTGTACCAAGACGGAGTCATGAAGAGGAAAGTCGATGGCAAGGAGACGGTCGCCCACCTTTTCGAGTACACTACTCAGCTCTCTGTGGATCCTACCCCGGCTCTTGTGACGCCGCACGGCGATGATCCTTCCAACCTGGTACCGGTACAGATGATGTTCTGTTTGAAGCAAAAGAACAGCAAGAAGATCAACTCGCATCGGTGGCTGTTTAATGCCATCGGAAGGCAGCTGCAACCCGAAGTCTGCATTCTTCTCGATGCTGGTACAAAGCCTGGCCACAAGAGTCTGTACTACCTGTGGGAAGCGTTCTATAACAAGCCTAACCTCGGTGGCGCTTGTGGCGAGATTCACGCAATGTTGCAGGGTGGCAAAAAGCTTCTGAACCCGCTGGTTGCTGCGCAGAATTTTGAGTACAAGCTTTCGAAGTGAGTTTTTTGAGTCCCTCGAACCAGCTCCTCTGCGCCTCCTTGTGGACACATTTAACGATAGCTTCTCTTCCCGCTGCCAGCATTCTGGACAAGCCGCTCGAATCATCCTTCGGATACGTGTCGGTACTGCCTGGTGCTTT